AGTCTTGTGGACTTTCTGCCTGGGCTGGCTTTGAACTGTGATCCTCAGATCTCAGCCTCCTGAGTAGCCAGGATGACAGGTGTGAGCCACCGGCATTTGCCTTAAGTAACTTTTTTTTCCATTTCAATAAGTATTATTTTATATGATCAGATGCACCTAAGTATTGCTCCTTTGTGCTCCTTTCCTAAGAATATCCTCCTTTGTCTCACTGTGTATGAGTGTCTAGAGTCCTGTATCATTTTATATTACTTTTAATTGCTGTAGTTTTGGGATTTCTTTTATGTCCTAGAAAAGAATGTGCGCACATTCTATCATTCGATAGGATACTCTGCAGATACCAGTGTCACTGAGCTTCTCAAGCCATCCGTATCTTTCTGACCTTCTACTTTTCCTGTATTTTGAGTCTTGTAAGCAGAACTGTGTTCCAGTTTTTTAACACCTGATCATGATTATATTGATTACTCCAACACCTTGTCTTCAATTTCTTCACACACCTGACTACCTTTATATGCTGAGCACTGTACTTGAAGAGTAGTTTGATGAATGATTCGCACTTCCTCTGAATTATTTTCCCTAGGAGGGAGGCTTTCTTTTGCTCTTCTTTCAGACACATGTGGAAATCTAAGTCTGTGATTCTAAGTTCGAAGTCTGCACTCTGTTCTAACTGAGGGCCTCAGCGATTCTGGATCTGTGGGGGTTGGATCTTTTCTGGCTCACCCTTGAGGCTGAGGCATGCCCTTTGACCTTCCCAGATTTGCTGACAAGCAGGATCTAGAAGGGGAAATTGTGTGCAAGGCCACCTTTCTGGCAGTGATCGTCCCCCGCCCCCCAGCTGTCAGCACCTTCGTCCTCCTGGGTTATTCAGAGGGGCATCTGTAGACTCCCGTCTGGATGTGGGGGTGGGGGTGGTGCCACTCGAGTTCAGGGACCTGGCTAGCGTGGGCAGAGGCCTCCCGAGGTTTGCAGTGTGCGCTCAGAGGTCACAACCTCCTGGCTCCTGACTCACAGTGGGCAGAGCACAGCCGGAGTCAGGACTGGGCCTGGCCTCTTCTGGACAAGAATGGAAATGATGTAATGTGTCCAGGTCCTGTGTTCCTGGAGCAGATTGAATAAGCGCCAGCTCTCTTAGGCCCCCACCGACCCACCAACCCTGCTTCCTGTGTCAGAGGCTTCTGCTGCGGCTTCCACCCTTGAGGGCCCAGCCCCTGGTGCTGCAGCCTTAAGGGGACTTGACTGGGTCAGGGCTGTCTCTAGGCAAGCACACCTAGAAACAGCTGCGAAAGTGACCCAGGCAAGGTCCTCACCGAGGGGCTGGCGCTGGCACCGAGGGATGGGCAGTGCCCAGTGAGGGAGGGACACAGGAGGGGAGGGCGGTGCCCAGTGAGGGAGGGACACAGGAGGGGTGGACGGTGTCCAGTGAGGGAGGGACACAGGAGGGGTGGACGGTGTCCAGTGAGGGAGGGACACAGGAGGGGTGGACGGTGCCCAGTGAGGGAGGGACACAGGAGGGGAGGGCGGTGCCCAGTGAGGGATGGACACAGGAGGGGTGGACGGTGTCCAGTGAGGGATGGACACAGGAGGGGTGGGCGGTGCCCAGTGAGGGATGGACA